TTGATCATAGAAAGACGACTGGTGGTGAGATGCAGACGGATTTCAAATCTGCTTGTGGTACTACATAGTGTCTTGATCCCAGAACACTTGTGTGTGTGAAGCAGAATGTATTATTGCATTCAAGGATCTCAGATACCAAGGAAGTCACGTCATGAACTACCAGAAACTGAGTTTGAGCTGAAGAGTCGCAGAACTGAATTGTGCCCAAGGGAATAAGTGGAAACCCCAAGCCTAAGGAAGCCCCAGGCCCCGATCCCATTCTGCCTTGTAGGTACCTAAAATTTAACAATCACTCACCCCCAAAATTTGCACTTTATATCACAGGGGTGATTCTTTTCTATAACTCACAGGGCTGTTTCTAGGATAACTCTCCTGTTCACTCAGTGGACAGACCTGGGACAGAAACCTGTTCAGTCAGATGCAAACTGCCATTTTTGTGGCTTATGCAGTTTGCAATCCAAGTAGGTGTGCAAGAGGAAGTGCAAACATCCATGTATCTACTGAGTATGTGCAGTAGGCTGTGCTCTAGCTGTGCACATACGTGTGTCTGTATATGTGTACCTGAGTGTAAATCCATAAACTGGGGGGGTGGGGAGAGGGTGGACCACAGGTTTCCCACTTCCTGTGCTAACCACGCGGCAATTGAGCAAAAAGTGTTTCCCTCTTTCTTCACTGAGCTGCATGTGTAATTATAAACAGTTGCTCATTGAGGTTTTTTTAAAAATCTTTCTGAAAAACTGGGTTCTTATTTGGATGAGAGCAGAGCTTAAGTAGAGTTAGAGCTCTAGGCAGTAGATTGCAATAGTGGAAGTCTAAGTGTCTAGGGATCTTTTGAAGTCAAAACAGAGAAACATAGGGCACCTTTACACATGCTCTAGGGGCAGGGAGGAAGTGCTTTAATTGGAATGACTCCAAGAGCCATTCTAATTAGAAATGCTGCAGCATCTCATGTATTAATGCCCCCACACTTCAGAATGGTGGTGGGGGTGCTTGAGCTAAACCTCGTTTGATGAGCTTTAAGGTGCAGTCAGAAGTGCGGCTCCCAGCTGTAACTCAGAGCATTTTCTGCCAAGTGTTATGTTACCCTGGACCAAACAGAAGTTCACTGTTTGTTCCGGGGATGGGGAGGGAATCTATCTGCAGGCTAGAAGCCTGCAGCCAGATTCCCATAGCAATAGCCAGGCTGTCTGCCAGCGCTCCCTGTTTTCAGAATGGAAGTGGGGGGGAGGCAGTGGAGGAAGTTCGTTCTTACAGCTCCCCAGCTGGTGTGGAAGGATGGGGTGGATGAATTGGAGCTCCCCAACCTTGGGTGGTAGGGGGGCTCCAATGTACCTGCCCTATCGTCTGTGGGGCTGAAAATCCCCCAGACTGAACTCCCTTTGCTCCCTTTCCCCAGTCCCATTCTGAAAACAGTGACAGACTGGGAGCGCCGCAGACACAAGTTACAGGAAACACTACATTTTGAAAAGCCTTTATTGGATACCTCATGCAATGAGGGGTCAGATTTTCACCCAATTGGCCATTTTTAAGCTGTCTGCAGCCATGTACTTGTGTTTGGTCACAGCTATAAACGGCTTTCTGTGGCCAGGTCAGGCAAAAATTGTCACTTCTGTCTGCAATCTTAGTTTAAGCACCCCCATCACCATTTTGAAACATGGGGATGCTGATACACGAGATGTGGAGCATGGTATTTACCACTCTTCAGCAGACTTGATTAATCGAGTATTCTCTCATGCACTGTAATTATAGTGTGTTGGAGCAGCCTCCCAGGACATCTACAGGCACCCATAAATACTCTAGGCTTCTTAGTACTTTTGTCATTGCTGCATGGAGTGAAATAAGACTGTGCTTGACGACTTAAATGCCTAAAAGCTGTGTAATTGCACATAGACATCTTGAAAGTTGAACAGGATCTGGACTGCCATGTGTAACTGAGGTGAATGCCGACACAAAGATAGGACCAGGTGGAAAGAATGCCGAAATCCATTTCCACTATAAGATGTAGCATCAGATTCAGCAGTGGTTATTCACAGTTTGAGCTTAGTTTATTTATAATATCATTTAACACCTTTGTCTACTGTTCTAGGGCGTTTTCCAAAGCAAGGCGAATTAATTTTCCTGTTTTTCAGATGGGGGATTCTGAAGCTTCAAAAGATGAAATAACTTGCCTGAGGTCACATAGCAGGTTGGTGGAAGAATCTGAATAACCTAGCAAAGTGTGTCTCCAGCTCAGTGGCATGTCCATTGGCCTGCACCCCTACACACAGCCAATAAAATAAGAAATAGCAAAAGGCAAGGTCTTGCTGTAAACATAATTATGAATATGTCTCTAATTCCTCCATTTTCCAATATTTGAACCTCTAAGATAGGTACTTCTGTATGCTTCTCAAGTGGCAATATGCTGTTCAACTTTTTAACAACAGTGAGCAGAGCTGGCCTTAGGGAATATACTGCCTTGGACCAACTTGTATTTTGGAGCCCCCTACCTGCAGCTCAGTAACACCATTGCAGGCAGAGGCAGGTGGGCAGGACAGGACCAGGTGCCACCCCACCCACATTACTAGGCCCAGTTCTGACAGAGCAGTGGCCTCAGGGACACCAGAGCTTCAGGGACACCAGCTCCCAAGCCATGGGAAGATGGCACTGCCCCTGTCCCACGCTGTCCCTGGAGAGGCAAAGCCAGTGACCAGAAAGGGTAGGTTTGCTTGAGGGAGAAGCGGAAAGTTGAAAGTCACTCAGGAGGCAGTGAGGCTGGCCCAGCCCACCCTCCACCTCCCTCTGCCCACATCTCCCTGTGCTGCACCAGAATCTTGGGGCAATGGGGGTCCGGGGGCATTGCCCTGCATGGTTGAGCTGGCAGTGCATGAGGGAACCACCTGCTGAACTGAGCACTGCTCCTCCTCCCTGGGGCAGGAATCGGCCAAGATGGGGTAGGCCGGGCAGGGTGTTTGGCACCTCCCTGACCACGGCACCCTGGGCAGTCACCCCTGTTGCCTACTCCTAAGGCCAGCTCTGACAGTGAGCTTTATATACGAGAAACCACATACCTGTTAAGTATACTTCATGCGGTCTTGCTAAACATACTTAACAACAAACAACCCCATGCTTAGAATAAAAGATGGCAATTATTAGTAAAATGGTTTCCTTCCATACACTCCAAACTGACTTAAATTTCATGTCATCATTTTAGCTTATTTTTGTATAAGGATGAAACTGTTGACTCTAGGTTTTAGGCTGAAGACTCAATTGGAGGCAAGAAGCAAATTATTCAACAAGAACCCAGCTTCACTAAATGCTACTCAGACATGAACGGCTTCTACTACATGACGACTGACAAAAAATAATGGCATAGGATCAATGCTCAATTCCATTATTTTCTTGTTCCCTGCTTGTTCTACTGATTGTGCACTACATCAAGTGTCCTGATCCTGCAGATATTTACATATGAGCTTAAATTTAGCATATTAACAGATCCATTTACTTCAATAAGGCTACTCACTTAATCATACAGTAAATAATTTAGAATCTGGGCCTCAGTTTATTGCACTTCTGTAGCACACCTTTAATTCTCAGGTTCTCAAAGAGCTTTAAAAAAAGAAACTCATGATTTTAAGAGCTTTGATACTCTGTCTCTGTGCCGTACCTGCCAGCATGACTGTAAAGCACATCCTACCCACTAGCTTCAATTCAGCGCATGCCAAATCTTAGACATGAGTGCATACTGTGATACCTGGGCTGGAACAGAAAGCCTCAGAACACTTTTGGGTGTGCACTCAGTGCCATTCTGGTATACCTATACCACCCTTTGGGAGTTAACTTGTGTTGAGCAGGAATGAGTGGGGAGCATACCTATGTGTTGTATGAAGGAGGTACAGGCATGCCTTTCTTCCCCTTTTACAGATGTGACATGCAGATTGAGAACACTACCACTTACTATCAACTACATACCCTATTTGTAGAAGTAGAGGAAAAGTCCAGCTTGGTACAATCCAGTAGTCCATAATCAGTGGGATTTATAACCTGCTCTCAATTCCAGTTTCCTATTCTACTGATAAGCCTTTGTTCTAGGCCCCAGAGTGCAGCTACTGTCTAATTCCTATTCATCAGAGTATGCTGTAAGAATGCTCAGTGCAGATACATTTTCTTTTTACTTTGCTCAAGTCCTTTACCGTTGCCATTTTCTCCGGGCTGACTTGCCACTTATACAACTACAAGCGAAGCAGCATGGTGCACATCAGCTCCCATGCAGAGCAGACTCGATTAATTGAGTCTGCTCCGAAGTGGTAGATCTTGGGAGCGTCTGAGAACTAAAAGGTACATGTATAAATGCTTGAAGAATTTAGTTAATTCTGCTCCAGTGAGAGTCAGAAGAGAGACTAGCTGACCCATCCAATTCCTGCATAAGCCAAGTAGCACTCAGGGGATTGAAAAAGCAGTTAAAACATATTTAGGTTATAGTGTAAATAAATGAGACTGAATAGCCAAGGGGGAGATGGGTGTTAAAATCTGTTAAGTTTTAGGGTACTGCTTTTACACAGTAACAAAGGCCTTAACATACACAGTGGGAGTGTCTACATGTTCATTAATGTGCAGTGGTCACTGCACATTTAATTTAGTACTCGTGTAACCAAGTACTAAATAAATGCACAATAACCAGAGTTACTGTGCAGCAGTGCTGGTGAACCCCATTTTAGTGACGTTACTGCACAGTAGCCTAATAATACCGTTCAAGAGCGTATTAGCACTGTCCGTGTTGTGACCGCTACTGCACAGTGTTATTAGGCTACTGTGCAGTTAGTGTCTCGTGTACACGCACCCAGTAACATTCAGATTAACTAGCACTAAATAATTCTCATTGCATTTCCATTCATTTTAAGGCATCAGTATTATCATTTCCCATGAATTAACAGAAACAATTTATTTCAAGCTCATTAGTTCATGAGCTGCACAGTACACAAAACCATGCAGAGTACTGCAATATATAATGAACTCATAAGTACCTGAAAACTTCTTTGTATTCTCTCAGAAGACTTTTCTTCGTGTTTCTTTAGTTCACCTTGCCAGGCAACTGGTACATCTTTTTTTGCATGCAATCTGAGGCAGTACTGTGTGAATAGGTGAAAAAGCAACTTCAGTGAATGTAAATTTTGGCAGGATATGCAGAAGATATAGAACAAAAACCAAAATATCATAGAATAAGCATTTAAGTACCTCTACCCCCGACAGCTGGCTTCACTGACAAATGTGACATTTCATGTGGCGCAGAAAAACTTAGAGAAGAGGCAACAAACAAATCATACCTTTTCACAGAGAATGGAGGAAAATATTTCCAGTATTTTTTAAAAGTATATGGATTCTAGGCAAATATACCCCAGCTGTAATGAAGGATGAAGACTTAGGTTAAGATGAATTTGTTGTCAAATATCCATAAAACGGGTAAGTAAGAACTTTATAAATTGTACTCGCTTGATATACATTCCCTGTGCTGATATCTATATTTCATTATTAGATTGCTATTAAATTTTGTCTACATTTAGGCATATGATATTTAATTTTGGTGGGACTAGGTCTTTGAACCCTTCTTGATTCTCAGACTATATCTGTGGGTCAAGAGTAACCTACTTTGGCTCTCTTTTGCCTTTCAGGATCACCACTCAGGGGTTGCCACTGATGCCTCAGGGAGTGCTGTTTGGGGTTGTCACTACTTTGGGAAATGTCACTTGGAGTCACTGCTGAGGTGTGCTGCTGGCCACCTCTTGGGATCACCACTTGACGCTCCTCTGTATATGCTGCTGGGGTTTCTGCTTCCTCCCAGCACTCAGGATCACTGCTGCTGCTCTGTGAGTGCCACTCAAGGTTGCAGCTGAGGCTGCCTTTCAGGATTGTTGTCTGCTGCTGTTCTGTAAGAGCTGCTGAAGTTTTGGTGTCTGCTTTCTCTCAGGATGCCACTGCTTGACTGCTCTAGAAGCACCACTGGGATCTCCACTGTCTTGTATTGCTCACGGTCACTGCCAAGGGTGCCTCCCCTGGGGTTTCGGCTATTGATTTACCTAGAAAGACAGCTTTAGCTGTCCTTTGATAGTGAGTAAGAATTAAAACAACAACCCAGCCTCAAAAGTTGCCCAAGGTCTCTCTGAGCTCTCTTCCAGAGGTGTATTATCTTGAACTGTGTATGCTCTCACAGTTAACTTTAAAGAAATTAAGCTGGCTTAACTGTCAGAAAGTTGGTATGCATGTACCTCTGGGTGAATCCCATACAACTGTGTCCTGCAGCCTGTGTAAGCCTTCCAAATTCATCGACTGTAAGGCTAGAAGGGACCTCAGAATATCATCAGGTCCAGCCCCAGCCCTTTCATGAAAAATATCAGAAAGGAAGGCCTAGCGGCACAAAGATCTTCCCCCCTTGACCTTTTACATTTAATTTTTTGAGGCGGAAATCACAGAATAGGCACAAACAGGCTCAAGGCGTATACAAATTTTAGAATACATAGTTGATCGCATGGCTAACCATATCTTTAAGCAGGGTTACATTATTCTTCTGAGAAGTGCTTAGATATAGTCAGGGGGTAACAGAAGGCATCCCCACATTAACTATATGCATCAAAAAGTCCTTCTTGCCTGCAGATATACTCTCCAGTTCTATTGCAGCTCTCCATCTTGAAAACTGTTTGTCATGCCCTCTCTACTGGTCTGACCTGACCTGAGGTCAATGAAACACTTTGCCTTTGAATGAAGAGGCAGTTGAGCAGGCCAAAATAGGATGACAATATTGGGATAACAGATTTTTAGCAGAAGGCAGTTTGGCAGAAGTGAAATATCAGTGGATTTTATCCTTTGTAAACAGTCATACTTATTGATTACATTGTCCTTTTTATCTTCAGAGTGTCAAAAAATATTAATTAATTTATCTGCAGACATTCTCTTAAGTAGTTATTGCTATATAGATAAGGAAGAGACGTAATGAGGCTACATGATTCATCATACTGTGAATCAGTGGTGGGGTAGGGATTAAAGGTGCTCCTGGCTCTCACTCCTCTGCTTAGACCCTATAGCATTCTGGCTTTCAGAAACAAAGGTTCAGCCACACCAGACAAGTCCACACTTCCCGCAGCAACTTCTACTTTAAAAAAGAAACTACTGTATAAACCTTATTACTGAGTAACTCATTCCCCTGTGTAACATTCTTCTGCTGACAAATTATTCTACATTAAGAGCTTGTGGCTATGAGGTCTTACTCAGAGTTCATGCAACGGGTTTTCTTCTTTCTGAAGTCACTTTTGCCCTCCACAAAATGATACACTAATCTGGAAGGATAACATCCTCATCCTCCAAGCCCTCAATGTTTTGTTGTGGTTTCAGTTCACAAAGTCAGGAGACATTTTAACAAAGCACACAGACAGCCATCAGACTCTTCTTCTAGCTCTTTCTCCCAAACTCTGCCTAATTCAAAGGTATATACAATTATCACACTCAGCATACATTTTCTCTACAGGCGTGGTCCAGGCCAGCCTTCTATAAAGAATAAGTTCTTGCTTTATTGGACATCTCTCACAACTTTATAGAGAAACAAAAATTTCCTTGAGCACTGAAATGTTTCAGCAAATCTTGTTACAACTGGTTTCAGTGACCAGGCACTTCGAGGGGCCTGAAAAAAATAATTAGCATAGACTAAAAACAGAAGAAAAGGCCCTACCCACTCAGGTTGTACACATATACATATGCACAGTATTACAGGTGCACAGTTGTCATTCACTGACAAATAGATTTAAGGACCTCTCTAGCTTTTACTGGAAACAAGGAATTTTGCCACAAACTTCTGTGAGAACTAGAATAAGCTTCATGTGCCTTTTAAATAATTTGCTAATAAACACCCTTTATTTTAATGCCCTCCGTCCTTTCATATCTACCAACTTCAAACTATTGTATTATCATTAGAAGAAAGAGAGAGAGAGAGAGGGAAGAGAAGCACTGTAACTGGAATCATGAATGACTCCAGCGACTGGGGCAGCATGGTGGTGGCAGAAGCACAGCGGCGGCCAGTGGGAAGCTCCTGCAGACACCACTGGCACTGTTGGTGGCAAGCCTCTTTATCTCTGTAAAATGCGGGTATTAATACTGCCCTACCTCAGACAAGTGCAGAGAGGATGAATAAATTATACAAGGTGAGACATTTAAATAATGGGGTTCATATAGATAGCATAGGTATAATCCCTATTACTGGAGAATCCAATGATTATTATGTTCTGCGTGAACAAGGAGGAACCTAGCTTGACCCTCACATTGAGTCAGAGTTTGCAGGCTTACCCGTTATAGAAAACATCTTTTCAGCTGTTCTTGCTAAGCAAACTTGGTACACAATCGCAAAAGAGTCCCATCATGGTATTTGTTTACTAAGTGACTTGTCAGAGTGGAAAAGCATTATAAAACTTATTGGCATGAATACAGACACACATTACAAGACAGGCTAACGTCAGTCAACCCAAAGTGTTATACTTAGTTCTGCCATCACCCATCTGGAAATGGCCTAATATTTCTAAATGTACAAGTTTTTCCAGTTTCCCCTAAGCCCTAAGAAATATATTATCCAAAAGGCTGCTGCAGGAAAAAAATCCAATGCAATAGCAGGAGGGTTTTTTTTTTTCAACCAAATATCTATTTTTCTCTTGCTTTCCTTAGGATTGTGACATCACTACTGTAATAAACTATTCAACACTTTAGTGTTCATAATGCTCTAATGCTCAGGACAAGTGATATTTCAGTCAATGTAAGTTACTATTGTAAGTTGTCACTCTAAAATGGCTTGTTTTTCAGTTGTACAGTAACTTTACCATGGAGCAGAAGTCTGACTCTAAACTAAAATATAATATATCAGTCACTTAGTGGACCCACAAGCACTAACACAACACAGATTCCAGTTAGAAATAAAATGTGGTATTATCTGTAATGACTGAGAATAGAAGCATGCATGTTTTCAGAATCCTTTTTGCTGCACAGTAGTTAGGGATAATACCCACCTTGCAGTTCATTAGGAAATCAAAATATTATACTGTATAAATATTACTTTGCTCTTTCGCATTTTACAGAAGCCCAGGGTCTCAGAAGCCTCCATTACAGTGTAGATGTGATTTAGGTATATTGGAACATCGTAGGAAATGGAAAGCCGCCCAGATGGTCCAAAAACAGCAAAATGGAAGCCAATATATTGTATACTTTGGTTCTCCCTCTGCAAAGCAGTGCTAACCAGCCTCAAGACATTCCAAACTGTGGAATATGTATTGGCAGAACACAAAGAAACTATATACCATACAACTCAGTAATGAATTCCCAGTACTTCTGTGCTAGATTTCCTTTTTTCTTGAAAACAATGTAACCCACTATAAATCTAGACAGTGCCAAACTTAAAGTTTAACTAGAAATCCAACTGTAAAGCTGAAGAAAACTGGCGCAGAACTGAAATCAAATATATACATATATGCTTAATAGCAAAAGGAGGATAAGAAAGGATCTACAGCTGTTTTTTCCTTCAGTTTCTCAAATTGGGAGCCATAAAGCATGTCACAAATGTAGACTGTGTTCTCCCTTCTACTTGAGATACACATTTACACTCTATTCATTTTAAGCAGGAAGACATAACACTAGGACATGACCTTTAATTTCAGTGAGCCTGTGAAAGCAAGCCACCACAGCTCCACTGCAATGCAGTTAAACATCTAGAAGGAGATGCACAGTATTCCACTGCTTTGTTATTACAGGTGTACTCGATTTTACATTCAATGAGGAAGGTGCAATTTTATGGCTCTGTGGAAAAATCTTTAAAATGCTTGCGGGTAGATGTCTAATGATGCCAGATTGGTGCTGGAGAACATAATAGGAAGATAAAGTACTGAAAAAAATATCTACATGCCAATAAACAATCAGGTAGGTAAATAATAATAAAACATGCATAAATAGATTTGGTTTCTTGTCCATGTTATTACAGGTGTACTCCTTCCTCATGCTCTTTTTAAAGGGTGTAGTTCTGATATTTGATCACTAAGTAGATATCTGTGCACTGAAAACTGAAAGAACTTGATGGATATCGACAAAGATAATGATTAAGATACAG